AGTTGAGAGTTCCCTCAACCTCGACTAGAACGGTGTGCAATTCGTCATAGTTTAACTTAGCGTTCCTAAGTGTCTTCCGCAAACATCTCTTTGTATTCTGAATCAATCCCTCAAAAAAGCCACCCCATCAGGGCGCTCTGTCCACATTAAATCTCCAGTCAATTCTTTTACTGGCCAGGAATCTCTTGACTCTTGGGTAAGAAAATAACTTGCTCAAAATTTTATCTGCAGCCTTAAACGTTTTGGCATTGTCCGAGGTAGTCAGTTCTGGTAAACCTCTTATAGCTGCGAATCTCTTCAGGCAACGGATGAATACATCAACTGACAGGTCTATAGCAAGCTCCAAATGTACTGCTCTCACAGAACAGCAAGTAAACAGGAGAACATAGACCCTCCGTAACGCAGACTGTCCTGACACCTTAATGTACAAAGGTCCAGCATAATCTACTCCGACATAAGTAAAGGCAGGTTTCTGGCTCAATCTAAACTCGGGTAGGTCACTTTGAGGAGGCACTCTGTAACTCTTCCCTTCATATCTACGACAAACTGTACAGCTAGCCAGTGTTCTTTTAACAAACTGTCGTCCCTTGACAATCCAAAATCTGGTTCTCAGCTGGGCCAGCGTAGCTTCAACCCTATTGTGATGCACCCTTTCATGAGCATCTCTCACCAACAGAGTTGAAAGATAATGATTCTTTGGTAGTAAGGCTGGGAACTTGGTCTCATGTGGTACATCAGCATTAGCAATTCTTCCCTTACATCTTAGGACTCCACTACTGTCTTCGTACAAACCAAAGTCTCGCTCTAACTGACTGTAATTTGCTTGGGACTTCAATTCTTTCTGGACACTTCTTAACGACTTCACTTCTGCATTTCCAAGTTCTTCTGCAGTAACCTCTCCCAAGTAAACAGTTCCTTCCTTTAGCAACTTGGCCTTGATTTTTAAATTTTTCACAAAGCGCAACACCAAGGCTGTAATACGAAACAACTTGTCACAGGAGCTAAAATCTGTGATCATAATAATAGTGTCCATATTGGGTGTTCCATTTGTAGTTAACAATACCGCTTCACCAACTGCTTCGATAGCTTGGCCTTTCTTCATCTCTACGCAACACTCTTCAGCAATTGTTTCGGAACATTCCTCAGAACTGGGCCAGTTTCTCACGGGCTCCGACAGCCATGATGGTCCCTTCCACCACAACACATTAGTCTTTAACTAAGCCGCACCTTCTCCACGAGATCCTATGTCCGCTGGGTTCTCAATGCCAGGACAATGGTTCCACATGCTCTCTTCGGTTAAAGACAAGATTTCATTCTCACGATTTTGCACAAACTGCTTCCACTCCTTCGAACCCTTTATCCAGCAGATTGCAGTCTTGCTGTCTAGCCACAAGCGTGTCTTGTCAATTGTAATCTGTGACGCCAAGGCTTCTTTAACTGAGGACACCAATCTTGCTAAGATGACCCCAGACAGTAATTCGAGTCTAGGGATAGAATGCCTTGTCAGCGGTGCCACTCTGGTTTTGGATGACAACAAAACTGGAAAAAAATCACCACTCACTTCAAGAACAAAGTAAACAACAGCACAATAAGCCTTCTCTGAAGCGTCCCCAAACCCATGAATAACATACGACGTAACACCTTCCTCTAATCCAGCATACACACACCTCGGTACTAACACTTGCTGCACCTCTCTCAAGTCCTGAAGCCACCTGTTCCACTGCTTCCGGGCAGACTCCGGGAGTGGCGCATCCCATTCAAACTTGTCCTGGCAAAGAAACTGAAACAAAATCTTCATTTCCACCAGTATTGGACTGAGTACTCAAAGGGTGTCAAAGAAACTTGAAGTAATCTTTAACAAGTTTCTCCTGGTCGGCTCCAAGTCTTCTGAAAGTCTCAGTAAGGCTTCAAATTTAAAAATGAACTCATCAGTAACACAGTTCCAATTAAGACCAAGTACCTTGTGTTCATCCTTCATATCAAGCTTCTCCAAATGATTGACAGTAGTTTTCGCATAAGACTCTGTATCCTCCACTACAGCGCAAGTTCTGACAGTTCCAGCTTGGTCCTCACAAATCAATTCAAGCAATTTAGGTGAATTTGAAATCCACTTTTGCAAGTTAAACCCACCTTCCAATAGGCACTTCTTAGACTTCTGATAAAGCGACAGACACTCCTCAACACCCCTTTCTCCTGTCACCAAATCATCCACATGAAATGAATTCAACAAGTTCTGAACCAAACCAGGGTCAGCCTCATATTGACTGATATGATACTTCAAAGTAGCATTCAAAAGAAAAGGGCTAGCATTGACTCCAAACACCACACGACAAAACCGATATAACATCAATCCGGGATTTTCTTCTTCTAAACTGTCCACCCGGAGGAGTCGTAGAACATCACGATCTTCTTCAGCAACTACCACATTGAGAAAGGCCTTTTCAATGTCTCCTACAAGTGCAATTCTTTTCTCTCTAAACCGGAGGAGAACATCGAAGATTGTTGGAATTAAGGCTGGTCCTGAGTAAAGACATTCGTTAAGACTTTGACTATCACTGCTGGGCCTTGACGACGCATCGAAAACAACACGAAGTTTGGTTGTAAGGGCATCCCGGCGAACCACCCCAGGATGCGGTAAATAATGTACCCTTCCAACATCAGGACGCTTGGCACAGTCTACTTGCTCAATTATACCACTCTGCAACTGATCTTGTATGATGGAGTCATATTCTTTCAAGATCTCTGGATCCTTTCTAAGACGATTAAGCTGCGTGCTCAATCTTGCTACACAGTTCTCAAAATTATCTGGCAACAGCCCATGTTGCTCCTTCCAAGGTAGATGGACCAAACACTTGCCATCTTCAAAACTCAAATTCTTTTCAAAGGCTTCATCAATATTTGTTACAACTTGGCACTCAGACGCTCGGTGTTTTCCTTTGCAAAACAAATAGTTCAACTCTCCACGATTTCCGCTCAACAATGCACTCGCAGTTGATTCATTGCCAGGTTTAAACGATTTCTTTAATGGGGATTTTTTCTCCACAGATGTATTCATACCACACCTTTCACGGGCCTCCACTTCATTTTTGACAGCTTTTATTACAGAAGTTAGCTCCCAGTTATCCTTATGTTCCCTGCTGACAATCAATCGCAATTCTTCGGGCAACTTCTCCATGAATATAGGAATCAAAAGAGCTCCATACTGTGCAGAATCAATTCCCAGTGCTTGTAAACCTCTAACCTGAATTTCCAAATTATCGAGAACAGCTCGAATTCCCTTAACGTTAGACATGGCATTCACAGGCTGTAATTTGAGTAAGGCCTCCATGTGGGAGCTAATAATAATCTGCTTGTTTCCAAATCTATCGGTTAAGATTTCAATAGCCTCCTTATAGTTCAGTTCAGTTAATAGTAATCCAGTGATAGAATTTAGAGCTGGGCCATCTAATAGACTTCGCTGGTAATTAAACTTGTCAACATTGGTTAGCGCAGCGTTCTTATGCACCGCAGACGAGAACGAATCCCAAAATGTTTGCCAGTTTTTTGGGTCGCCAGCAAATCTTTTTATGTGTAGTTTTGGTAGTTTCGCACCGTTACTAGAACTAGATGGAACAAACCCACCTTGACTTCCTTGAGGCGATTCTTGTTTGCCATGAGAATTTTCACATTTCTGCAACTTGACAAGGGCGCCATGAATACGCGCGCGGAACTCTTCAGATTCCTCTATCTCCGGTTCTAAATTTACTTCGTCGATTGTGGCCAAAATCGATTCGTCCAAGGCCTTTAAGGTCGCTAATTTTTCATTGAGCGTTATAGTTATCCGTTGTATCTTGTCTTTAGTGGTAAAAAAATGTCACGCGCGAAAAGTAACACAAAACTCCGTAACACATGTAGAATATGAAGAGAAAACTGCACACCGTCCCATTGTGCACAAACTCCTGCGGTACTTAAGACATGGAAAGGGGTAAGAACTCCCAATTATTTTACAGAACATTTTTTTTGTCAGGTTCAAATGAAATTCAAAGTTGCGTCTCCATTACCTTTCATAAAATCACTTACATGGCAAAATGAAAGTTACTTTAATCTGTAATACACAATTTGCAACCGAGGAAAAACCATTAAGCAACTCCTAATAACCAGATTCTACTCTTTTTTCCCTTTTTCTGCATAATAATATTTCCGTTTGAAGTCATTACTTAAGTACCTACAACAACGCAATTCTCCACTTTAAAACAGTGTTGGTTTTACAAATTATGATGACAACATTCCATACCTTAAATCTGGAAAGCTCTCAAAGAGTTTTGCCTTAAAGTTCTCTTTTATTTTTGCCTGTCCTTTTTCCACCACATTGATCAGGTTCTTGAGAATCTTTCCTTCTGTGCTTCCCTTCTTATCAATTGGGTAGCATTCCACTTCCTTGCGGCCCCTGTTTGTGAAAAATCCTTTTTGGAGACAAAACCATGCTCCCTTAAGCTGATCAGGAAAGGCTGTTTGCTCGGAGTGTCGTGATGTATGATGCACATCGAATCCATCTTTACCCATGTAGGAAGCTCTCACCATTTTCAACATGTCAATGTTCGCCATCAGTCTTTCACACATGGTCACAGTTGTGTGTCCACTAGCATATTTCTTTAGGGGCTGCACAACTTCCGATTCTACAAAACCATCAAGCCCAATACCATGTCCTTTTTTCCCACTAAGGTTGACAGAACAGTTCTGCTGCAATAACCTTCTTGTTGCAAGTGGCCGTTTTGCAAGAAAATTGACAACATGACGGAAAACTTCTGTGTAATAATTTCTAAATCCAAGTTGCGCATAAATTGGTAATTGTGCTTGGTACACAACTTCACGTGCATAGCCATCTCCGTATGCAGTTGATGCATCATACAATTTCTGAATTGGACCATAAACAAGAAATGTGGTTGACCGGTGCTGGAAAGAAACATCATTTTCAGATGATTCTGAAATCCAGTCCTTAAATTTGTCCAAAAGCAACGTACTCACATCTGCAGCACCCCCAATTCCTGCTGAACTCGAAATGACTCACTCTCTGAAAATTCTAAAGCTGCAGCAATACCATAGGCCTTGCAGACATCACGGATTGCCTCCCTTACTTGGATGAGGTTATTCTCCTGAAATTTCTTGTTCTTAAATACTTCAGCGGTCAATTTCTTTCTTTTCATAACCTCTAGCAGGATGTAATGAAGACCTGATGACCCATGGACTTTGAATGCTGCTTCACAAAAGTAGCCTTTATTGTGAAGGTCACCAGGACAAAGACCAACCCATTTGTAGGAACCTGACCAGGATATAGCAGCACTGTTTGTCTTGCAAGTTCCTACATCCCCAACAACAGGCCTGACAAATCCACGACAAGAACGATTAACCTCTGTTTGAGTGTCAACACTGTCCCCTCCACTACTGCCACCTTTAGAAAATGTGCTATCAATCAGACGGATCAATTCATTTTCATCTTCTGACTCATCCTGATCCTCAGAAAATATCTGCAAAATTTCAGCATGCTGCAGCCTTTCAGCCATGCACAATGGAGAGGGAATACTTGTGAACAATGGACCAGAATATCTTGCTCCTGATTCCACTAGGAATTTACAAATGGCTGTATTCTTGTGTAACACTGCAAGACTCAAGGGAGTAATGCCACATCCCTCTCTGCTATTCACTTCAAGACCCATGTCAACCAAACATTTAGCAAAACTATCATGACCCTGTTCTACAGCGACATGAAGGAGAGATCGTTTCAAGTGGTCCTTTACATTTACTTTTAGTTTATGCTCAGGACTGTTAACAAAGGCCAGGTAGCTCTCCTCACTGTTTGATGCAATTGTGTCAGACAGCTTAGAAGATATACAGTTAAAGACCTCCCAGAAAGGTTTGTCCTCTGTTTCAAACCGCCGACGCTCACCCTCAAGAGTTGTCGCGGAACTTTCTGTTGAATCTTGTTCAGCTACCCCTGGACACTCCTCTTCAGTCTCCAACTCTTCATCAGTAGCCCCATCAATTTCTCTTTCTCGGCTCCGCAACTGCCTTTCCAACTCACCCATATTACTTTGATGGTTGTGCTGACTAATAAGCAATTCAAAGTGAGATCTAGCTGAGTGAACATCAAATGTACCTGACACAGAATCAAATGGAAGGTATTCTGGACCCTTCTTTTCATTCGGTAATGAAAAATCTATTGCAAGTTGATCAAGAATACTCACTGTTCCAACAATTGTGCTGTTATCTTCAAGAGATAAAGGTAAAACATGGACATTACTCTTTGTAACTGGACTTTTACAAGTAACAAGGTCAGTATCCTTTGGGACTTTGATCTTGTATCTCGCTTGAGTATTCCAGTCAGCATTTGAAATGAAAGAATTGAGTTCTGATTCAGTCATGTCCTTAAGCTTTTTTCTGCTTGGTGGCGATTTGTTCAATGCATCATCAAGAACTTCCAGCAAAAAAGCATCAACAGCACTTTCCAAAACATCTGTTTTTCCTTGATCACTCTAGATAAAGATGTCACTGGGATTTAAAAGAAGCACATTCCTCTGAGGTTTGACTGAGGCATCTTTGTCTTGGAGGATGTTTTCTAAACCCTCTACATTTGGAATCACTACAGCTTGACCTGTAAAGTTCCACATCATAGGGCCAATGTACTTAAATAGCCGCAAGTGTTTGTGCTTTCCTCTGTACATGTTGATATTATCAAACATTAAGATTACTGGAGAATCTGTGGGAGTTTGTTTAGAAATATCTTCTTGTTTCTTAGCTTTGCGGCCGTCAAAAAACTTCATTGCCTTCTCCCAGCTAACAGTTAAACCAAGATGATTCAGCATTCCAATAAATCGCATACCAGCTCCAAAGGATATACACAGACAAGTAAACAAGATTTTAAAATCATTTTGAATTTTCTGACTTTTCAAGCTGACCAATATAGCTAGAGAATGAACAGCACTTCGTACTCGCATCTCTGACACCTCCCTTCCATCAGTTTTGTGAAGTACCAGGGTTTCCAAGACATTAAAAAGGAGGGGGCACTGCTCCCTTGTATTCACAGGTAGTGTGCTAAATACTCCACTAACATCAACTTTTGACAAATCCTGTGTCTCAAGTCCAATGTTGAGAAAGCTGATAAATGTGTCCATTTCCTTAATGAGTTCAGCTCTGTCATTTGCACAAAGCACATCACATTGAGACTGGCTTTGTAAGAGTCTCTGAACTTCCCTTTCATACAGATGTTCCAAGGTACCTGAAAGTTCTTGAATCCTACTCTGCAACTTGCATTGCATATCAAACAAAGCACGCAAACCATCTCTTTGAATATTTTCAGCTGTTAACTGAATGTTTAAGCGCTGAATAATGGACTCAATTTCTGTAGAAACATTTGCAATCAGCTGTTTAATATTTGCGATATCGGATGTCTCATCCAATGACAAAGATAGCTCTTTCACTGACAATGTAAACGACTTTTTTTGGCCACATTCTTGTACACTGTCACCTTTTGCTTTCCGTCAGACTTACGGGTACGAGCAACCAGGCAGTTAGGAAAGGCTTCCTTCATAGCATTTGTGAATTGGACCTTCTGTGTTTGATCCAAGTGCAGCACTTCTAAAACTGCCCGTTGACATATTTCAGTTCCTTCTGCTTCCCAGAAGTGTTCTTTAAGTGCACTGACAAATGCTGCCCTTCGCATTTTGTAAAAAGTACATTAAAGGCTTTGATATAGCTTGTGTTTGAGGCTTTTGTAACCCTATCAGAGTAATTCAAGCAAAACACTATAAACAAAAAATCTTCATGTTGATACATGGTACTTAACGGAATTCTTTTCAGTATTACCAAGAGACTATAAAGGGGACAGAGAGGGCATCCCCCATATACACCCTATTCCATAGGTAATTCATCTCGAGTTATTTTTAACACCACAGATCTCAAGGGGGATTAGACAACAGCCAATCACATAGCGCGAATATGTTCCGCGTGGATGACCCACGCTGAGAGCCACGCGTCCTTCACGAAATGACGCAGAACAAAAATGGGGGAAGACGCGGAGAGCGATTTTGCTATTCCTTTTGTCGACGAAAACGACTACAGCGAGATTTCTGCGAAAGCTGTGTCAGCGAAACCGAAATTTAAAAAGAATCGGCCTTCCTCTCTTGTATAGAGCTAACAGTAGAGCAGGGAAATCCTTAACACACTGAATATTCTCTCAGGATCATTTATAATTTACAGTTTGAAGAGAGCAATTTCTGGTTTGATGTTTATTTTTTTCAGTCTTTATAGCGATTATTCCTACCCACTTACTTTGTCAATTGTAGGCGAACCCTCCTAAAGCTGAATTTCAAGGGACCATATTCAAGCTCAGAAAGAGAAATAAAATTTCGTCGTTGCTTATTTACGTCCTCCATAAAACGCGAAATTAGGCATTTTCACGTCGTAGTCGTGCAAAAACGGGAAAGAAATGAACAAAAAAGTGTGTTGCACGTGCGAAGTTGTTGTTTTGCTAATTAAACCTATTGTTTTTTTGACGTTCTAGTTGTCGTCCGCGTCGTTGGATCTTAAACTCCCTAAAATGTACAAACGACCGGTTTCAATAGACCGGCGAAATTTCTCATTTTATTAAAGCACTGAGGTTGCGACAACTTCGAGTTAAACTGATTTCAAGGGTTGTCAAAGAGTCCAGCGATTCCTTTTTCCCAGGTGAGCGCCGACTCATTTCGCTTCAATATTCAGGAATGCTCTCGAACTTTTTACTCTTTCATTGCCTCTCGCCCGACATGTTTTGCACGGCGTTTGGTTAGCGAAACCTCCACGAAACATCCACGCCTCGCGCGAGGTAACTTTATCCCGATTCTAAAAATAACTCGAGACGAATTACCTATGGAATAGGGTGTATATGGGGGATGCCCTCTCTGTCCCCTTTATAGTCTCTTGGTATTACATATTATATTGAAAAAAATGCCAAGCTAACCTATGAGGATGCTACTTGTGAGAAAGGATACAAAGGATTCAAAATGTTTTGACATAGACTTTACAAACTTGAATGACAAAAAGATCGACAACAAACTTCCTCACACCTCAAGAGTTTTTCCTCCCTTCATCTAAGAGTGTTGCCTAGTCACACTTTTCTCAGTGTTGCTGGAAGATAGTGTTTGTTTGAAGTTGTAACATCATCTCTCATTGAGAAAAGAGTTTCTCTGTGCGAGGTTTCCCCGTTGTTTCCCATTCAAATTTTTCTAGGGTAATGATTGATATTATGGTAATATACAATGCACGATCATGGAAAAAGACAAAGCAAAAGATAAAGAAAATGCCAATTATAAAACCTTAAGGTTTTGAAATTGTTATAATAAAGAGAGGAGCAAATCACTGAAGTGAAACAAACAATATTAATATTCACACATGTAATTCTGATGTTAAGACCAAGGTCAATAATAATTTTTTGTAACAAAATCATTAAAACCAGAGAAGGTTAGACATTGTGATAAAATGATCATGAAATCAAAAAGAAATGTAAAGTAAGTGACCACGTAGCACTTGCAAACTGCGTATAATTAATAAATTATAGTTTCTCACACATTACTCTTTACGATTTGTAAAATAGACAAGCTTAATATGGACCACAGAAAATAACAAAGTCGGAAAGCTATAAGTAATGAAAAAATAACAAGAAAGTTTATGTCTACTTCTTTATCTACAGAAAAAAAAATAATTCGAAATTACCTGCACTTCCCAATTCATCTTCTTCATCTTCTTCGACTAAGCTTTGATGCCTCTTGCTCCTCGGCTCAACTGCAGACTTAGAACTTGGGGTAAGTGAATGCTTCCCCGCCGGCTCACTGGCTCCCCTTTTAACAGGCGTACTAGTAATTGGGTGGAAATCGACCATGTAGAGAGGGAGCAACAGGGGAGCAATAAGACATAAGCCAGTGATGAGAGAACCGCAATCAAAATGAGCAAAAATCTAAGATGGCGGACAATAGTCAAAAACAGCAAACAACGAAAAAATATCTAAATCAGTGACCGATCTGCATCAAACTGCGTCTACTAACCTTCTAGACTCAGATCTTTAAAAGAACACTCAAAATCCGTTAAATCTTCGCCTGCTTCCGCCATTGTCAGAGAACCGCACATTACTATAGACTACGAGTAGTCCCCCATTTTTCCACAGGGATAGTAGAGCGAGCGAAACGTGAGCGGGCGTGAAAATCACCCCACGCGAGAAAAGGCGTCAGGCGGCGGGGAGAGAGAAAAATGTGTCGCCTTTTCTCGCGTGGGGTGATTTTTTCGCGCGCTCGTGTTTCGCTCGCTCTACTATCCCTGAGGAAAAATGGGGGACTACTCGTAGTCTACACATTATATGGCAGAGGCCTCTCTTCTCTCTTCCCCCTTCCCATCGTGCCCCGCGCGCTCTCTTTTTCTTTCTCTTCAGCCTCCCCACAACACAAAGAGGCCTCTGCGGAGGAGAGAGTTCACGTAGTACGATCAGCATTGCAGTATTCTGCTTGCAGAATTTAATATGTCTACAAAAAATAGACTATAATGGGGTAGGGGCTCTGAGAGGCCAGCGGCACATACCCAGCAAACATTAGGGAGTTTAAGATACCGCGACTACGGACTACGACTACGGTTAAACATGCTACTGCGCATGATCAAAGCCACGTGACTAATCATTTTTCCCGCGTAGTCCTGCGGCTACGGTGAGTTGTTGAGCTGTTTCGCGTAGTCGCGACTACGGAGAACATTTTGCTCGCATTTTGCCGTCTCGGTAACTCAAGAATCTCGTCTTTTCGCAAAAAAGTTTTCAATTCACCTGCTTTAAGTGAGAAGGAAGCGAAATATGTAAGTTTTGTCTAATTCCTCCTCAGATTTACGCTTTTAATCCACTGTTGTGACTATATTTTTATCTAGCTAAGCTCATATTTAAATAAGCTTAGCTGTTTATACGCAGAATTCAGATTGACGGCCGAGGAGAAGAGAAATCATGCAGGTAATCTACTTTCTCTTCGCACTTGAAAAGTTTCAATGCTTGTTCGAACTGATTAGTGTGTCTTTCTACTTGTGTAAGCTTTGTTTTAGCGATTTGCTGAATGAAAATGATGTAAACATCTTCGAGACAATCGAAACTGGGCATTTCAATACTTCAAACTACATCAGATCAGTAGTCGGAGAAGTCCATCTTCTAAATCTAATAAATGAGCTATTACTATTTCTGTCTATTTCTTTAATATTTGACATAAGTATTCATGGGCAAAAAAATAAAACCTGTGTAACCAAAACTTTGTTCACTAATTTCACCCGACGTATACGTAATTGCTTCGCTTCCTTCAAGTATGGAAAAATTTGCTCATTGTTCTAAAGATAAGATCACATGCAAAACTGACTTGCATTTTTGTGAACTGTGATTAAAACAAGAAAATCTTTGCGTGTTGTTTCCCTCTCCGCCTCTTCTCTCGTAGTCTACTGTCTGTAGTGCAATCTTAACGTTCTATATTTGCACGACTCAACCCAGTGCTACAAACAAAGGACAACGCTCGTCCAGCCGTAGTTGGTAGTCCGTAGTCTCCGTATCTTAAACTCCCTATTAACCCAAGTACCCCCCCCCCCACCACCCCCCGGGAGTTGTTCAAAGGCCGATTAGCGCTTAACCCGGGATTCTTTTTCTTTCTTCAAAAACATTTCTTCGGATAATTTTCTCTGTTATCATTAAGGGCATCTGATCATGATCTTGTTGACAAAAAGAATTAAACTGAATTTACTTTTTAAAAAGCTTTCACATCTGAATTCAAATTTCACACTAACCCTGTCAAAGCCTTTAGTGGAATGTGTGTGCGGCCCACGTCAATATCGTTTCCAGTAATTTGGTCGAGCGTGTTGATTTCAGTGACCCGAGAGTGGCGCTACTGTGGGCTGGTTTATAAGTTTTTCCTCATAAATAACATAAAGCAAGAGACTATAAAGGGGACAGAGAGGGCATCCCCCATATACACCCTATTCCATGGGTAATTCGTCTCGAGTTATTTTTAGAATCGGGATAAAGTTACCTCGCGCGAGGCGTGGATGTTTCGTAGAGGTTTCGCATGACCAAACGCCGTGCAAAACATGTCGGGCGAGAGGCAATGAAAGCGTAAAAAGATCGAGAGCATTCCTGAATATTGAAGCGAAATGAGTCGGCGCTCACCTGGGAAAAAGGAATCGCTGGACTCTTTGACAACCCTTGAAATCAGTTCAGAAGTTGTTGTAACCTCAGTGCTTTAATAAAATGAGAAATTTCGCCGGTCTATTGAAACTGGTCGTTTGTACAATTTAGGGAGTTTAAGATCCAACGACGCGGACAACAACTAGAACGTCAAAAAAACAATAGGTTTAATAAGCAAAACAACAACTTCGCACGTGCAACACACTTTTTTTGTTCATTTCTTTCCCGTTTTTGCACGACTACGACGTAAAAATGCCTAATTTCGCGTTTTATGGAGGACGTAAATAAGCGACGACGAAATTTTATTTCTCTTTCTGAGCTTGAATATGGTCCCTTGAAATTCAGCTTTAGGAGGGTTCGCCTACAATTGACAAAGTAAGTGGGTAGGAATAATCGCTATAAAGACTGAAAAAAATAAACATCAAACCAGAAATT